GTTTTTAAAAATGAGGGGAAAGTCTGATAAGCCATTTAAATCCCAGTTAATTGTTTTTTAAAAAGCATGCCTGTCCCACTTTATAGTGATAAGCCAGACTTTGATATAATGGGGCAAAAAACAGCAGCAGGTGCTGTTCCTTCAAGTCTTAAGAAATTTCTACTCATACTAAACTTGGTGCTACTTAGAGAAATCCAATGGACTTGCAGACCAAGGAAATGCCAGGAAACAGATTCCAATCTAGAAATCTTAAATCAAGCAGTAAAGCAATTCATTCAACATCTGCAATATAATCAATTGCAATGTGTTTAGTAAAATTGACTCATGACTTAGCCAACATCTTTAAACAAGTGGCAGCTGTATTCATAATCATGAGATTAATATTAAAAAGGAAGCTACACCACCATTCTACTTGCTGAGGGTCAGAACTTTGCTTTATGCGACCTCAACAAAAGCATAACACAACACAGTTTGGCTTCGCGTTTAAAGATACAGCATATTACAACGGATGTGAAGACCTCATTTTTGCTTCAGATCCCCACTTCCACCTCTGCTGTGGTGCCCAGAATCTAAAACTCTCTCAGAGGGCTTGCCTATTCCTTTCCCTACTCACTACAAGCTTTTGTTGAAAACTGTCTAATTTCAGTGGCCCTGTTTGGCTCTGTAGCTGATTAGTGCTGCTTAAAATGTTAAATTATCTTTAGTATTGGTGTTTAAAATGTTGCCCTTTATTACATTTTTGTGCTGCTAGACATCACTTTTTGAGTCCTTTGGGTTGAAAAGTTTTTGAGTTCTTTGGGTTGAATACTTTTTAATAGAAATAAAAATAAATCGTGTTTCCCATGTAAGTTATTTTTACAAAATTTCTTTGATTAATTTATTTAAGATACTTATAGACAGCTTAGTATTTTAAAGAAAAGAAATCAAAGTAGTATCCACAAAAATTCAAGGCACACAATAATAACCCAACAGCATTAAAAACAGTGTGCAATACAATTCATCTTTGCAACGGGGGCGAAGGGGGGACGACGACACAGGTATGAGCAACAACTATTCTGAAAATGCTTAGGTGTAAAGAATACTGTGAAGAGAAATCCAGTTGATTAAGTATCAACTTTAAGTAACAAAGAGATCATTTCATTTCAAATAACAATCCCTATAAATGTGGTGATTCTGTTTAAATGACCTGGCAGACCCGTGTCTCCGTGTCTCACTGAACAGCTGTGGCCTTGCAGACATGGGCTGCCGCTTGCTGAGGACAGATTTTTCACCAGAGAGCCTTTGCATCCAGGCTCTTCTGATCTGAAAAAGGAGCAATGATGGGGAACATTAACTGGCAGAAGACAGGAAGAAAATGAGGTTGTAATTATTATCAGGGGAAAGAGCCTTTAACATAAAGACTAGAAACTGATGTGAACCACAACAAAAGGAAGCCACTACAGAAAGTTAAAAGGTTTGCATGTGAAATTTTAAATAGGAACGTCTGAAAGTTCAGTTTAAGGAGCCAGTCTTCCTCCCAGCGTGATCCTTAAATATCACCTTTCGCAGTGTTAAAAGGTTTACATTTTGCAGTCCTTTGAACATATGCATAATCACTAATTTAGCACCACCATGTGAATAAACCTCTAACAAAACACTTGTAAAACCAACCTGCTGTAAGTGCTCAAAAGCCACAGCTTAAATCCCTGTGAAAGTTACAAAGCGAGAAAGTTGGCTTTCCTGCAGACCACAGGCAACTTCAGCACTGCATTCCCTTGTCCCATGAATTGCAGCCCACTGTCTCCCAACATTTCCAATCTGATGTCGCGCTGACCTATTTGCAAACTTTCATCACACCTGTCCTTCTCACCCTCCTCACAGGATACCAGCAAGAGAGACACCTCTGTCTGTGCACAGTCTAACATCCTTCCGCCTCCCCCACACCACCACCCAACATGTTCTGAAGAGTCCCCCAATTCTCTGGAGCAAAGTGATGTGGGCTGTCACTGAAGGCTGCAGTGGGAAGGAGAGGTGGTAAAAAAAGAAAAGAAAAGGCACTTCTCTTCTTCCATTAAGGGATGGATTAAAAAAAAAACTTCTGTGATTGTAAGGACACCAAATGGATCCCACAATTATTATTATTTTTAAAAAATAATCTTCCATTTGGCACAGGTAACAAGGCAACAGTAATAGATCCTAAAGAGCAGGCAAACTTGCATGGGATGAGAAGGTTCATCAAGTGACTCAGTCCTAAGCCATTTAGGGTTTAAAGGTAACAACCATCAGCACTTGAAAGCAAACCAGCAACCTGTGCAACTGATTCAATAAAGGGAGCACATGATCCCAGCACTTGACCCAGCAGAACTTTCATGGATTTAAGTTTCCATGTGCTTTTCAGGGGGAAACCCACACAGAATGTGACAGAGACATCCAGCATGTAACAAAAGCGTGACGTCCTGTGGCCTCACCTGACCTTCTCAGCAATGGGCACAGCTTCCTCTTTTTTAAAATCACTGCTTTACTAAGCAAGTTGTCCATAAGATTTTCACATTTGAAACCAAGTCTACTCACAGCCTTTGCTGTATAGAACTGTCCCATCGTGTGGCATGGAATTTTTAACGAACAGATTACTTTGCCACAATATGTGGAGAATTTGCAGATATGTGGAGAATTTGCAGATAACAGCCTCACTTCTACAGTTAACAAATATTACTGGTTATAGAATAGTTGATCTTGTTGGCTTCAGTGGGATAGTGTTCACCAATCACTGTCTTGACAGTATCCAGTAACTTCTGAACACACAAAAAAGGAAATATATCAGTCAATGCCTTCTTATCAATGGCATTGTAACTTTTTGAAACCAGAGGAATAACAGAGAAAAGACCCATAAAAACAATAGCTTAAGGTCAAAATTTGATGATTTTAGCATCTGAATAACATGCACCTCAAGAAAAGAGATATAAGTTTTTATGTACCTAAACATACCTGTTGCAATTTTATATAAAACTACAAAGATTTGATGGTGCCTCTGCTTCCATTACTTCAGATGGTGATAACTTAACATACAATGATTCTACTTTTTCTGCTACAAAAACCTGAAAACATTTAGATAACCCAGGCTGAGCCTTTGGAATAAGGTTGACCGCAAATATAATGAATAGCATGTATCATTTTGAGCACTGCTGACCAGAAGGCTCCAGTACCCAGCCCGCTGCAAGCACAACAAATTGTATTATTAGATATAGAATGACAAATTGCACACTCACACAGAACATGCCATTCCAGAGCAAACTCCCTATGCCCTGAAAGTTCATTGAACTGTAGTCAGGATATGGCTCAGGATCTAATAGACCAACTTTGTGACACAATACAAAACAGAGTCAAGATTTCCTAGGAATCTCTTTGCTACACTGTACCACTACTTTTGTTATCATCATAATTATTTGTACGGTAACATCAACTGCGATTGGATAAATGGAAGAGGAGCAAACGTGAATAAATTTAAACAAGCATTCAAAGGTATATCGAAGAGAACTGACCTGAGGATCCGAGAACACTTGCTGCATGCTATTGATTGGACCATATGGAACACCACTACCTTCAAAGAGTTCTAGCCATTTGGTGGTCTCTTTTTCCAAAAACCTAGGAATAAGGAAACATGCGGTTTGAACTATCCATTTCAGCCAGCATTTTTTTATATATATAAGCTAGTTTCTCTCAAAGTAGTAAATAATGCAGTAAAAATGTTCTGCACATGTTCCTCAGAAATACAGAGACTAAGCCCTGGGGCAAAAATCATGGTTAGACTGTCTTACAATTCTATCTGATTTTCTGATGCAATCCAGCAGTGATGCAAACCAAAATTATCAGCAGTTTCAATAAAACCCAGTACATTTCCTCCCATTCTTAATTACTGTAATGAGCTTCACATTTTTTTTATTTCACGTCTATTTTTCACAACAAAAAGATAGATGTGATGTGGTTAAGAGACATATGCATGAGAAAAGGTCTATTTTTAAACACAAAGATCCAATTCAAAGCCTTGCAAAGTTTTCTCCTCCTTTACATCTGAAACACATGTCCCAATTAAAAACCACAATTGTTAGTCAGATAACAACATTGATTACATATTTATGTGTTGTATGATTGTAATATTTGTCCCAAGGTCATCCGGTTTTGCATATGATATACTATACTTATCCTGAACAACCCAAATTTCCTTGGTTTACTTGCTTGCCTCCTTGGGGTCATTTACAGAATCTTACTTCGTTATCATGTTCCTATCATTAGAGACATTTCCTGCTTCCTCCTCCCTATGTGGAGTTGTTTAGATGAAGTTCACAGACAGTTCTGAACAAAAGCAAACATTTAAACAACCTTTTACATTGCCCTTTTTGAGGTAGTCTGAATCAAAGCGCTTGGAAATGTACCCTTGCCAAATATGTGTCTGTTATTTTATCATTGTGCAACGAAACAGGCAGCCACACACACAAGGTCTGTAAATGCTGTGGAAAATATTGCCAAAGAACTTTTCCACAATCACCATTCTCTAAGCTGCACTTTGGATTTGAAAGAATATATCTTTGAAGAATAGGGAACATCCAGGCATGCGCTGTCAAAAATAATGAACGTGATATGCAAAAAGCTGAAGCACTTTAAAATGCTTCATCAAGACAGCTGACTCTCCTTATGCTCTTATTTATAAACTACAAAAACTGGGGCTGCTGAAGAGGCCAGAGACCTGGAAGACCTGCTCCCTGCTTGAAGGTCTTTGCCACCTGGCCTGGGAGTGGACAGCCCTGACTGACTCCAGCTACAAAAGCCAAGGCTGCTGAACAGACTCCTGGGCTGGTTGTTGTTTAGGGTTTTATTGGGGTGGGGGAAGGGAAGTGTAACAAAAAATAATATCCGTAACAGTATATTTATTTTAGATTTTGCTATGACTTATGTGAGAACATTGTTCAGTTTGCTTGTGTACTTTTGCATGCTTTATTTATTGTTTATGACTACTTTTGTTATGTCTGTAATTGTGTATTTTTTAAAAAAGCTGCCTTGAGCATGGTTTTAACTATGTGTATGTGTATGTAAAACCATGCTCAAGGCAGCTTTTTTAAAAAATACACAATTACTGTGTGTATGTGTATGTAAAGGGACTGGTGCGACTGGTGCTGTGGGTTAAACCACTGTGCCGCTTGGGCTTCCCAATCGAAAGGTCGGCGGTTCAAATCCCTGCGACAGGGTGAGCTCCCGTTGTTCAGTCCCTGCTCTTGCCAACCTAGCAGTTTGGAAGCACGTCAAAGTGCAAGTAGATAAATAGGTACCGCCCCGGCGGGAAGGTAAATGTTGTCATTTTGGCCTCAGCCACGGCAACAAGGAGTGGCAGGCAGCAATGGCAAAGCAGGGTGGTTGCTGGAAAGCTGCCCTGCCCTGCCCTGCCCATTCCCCAGCAGCTCACCTGGGGCATCCACCTCCCTCCACTTCCCTCCACTTCCCTCGCCAGCCTCTGACACTGAAATAGCGGCATCGTTGTGTGATGGGCAGTGGCAGCAGAGCAGGATGGATGGATGCTGGGGAGCTGCCTTGTCCGGGCTTTCTTGCCTAGGCCATATTGCATTAACATGGGGGGGGGGGAGAAAGGTGGACTGGAAATCAGGCAATGGAGGAAGAGCGCCAGAGATGTGGATGTGCCTGAACTGAAGAATGATACGTATCTTGTATTTCTAGTTCAGGCATAGGCAAACTCAGCCCTCCAGATGTTTTTGGGACTACAACTCCCATCATCCCTGATCACTGGTCCTGTTAGCTAGGGATGATGGGAGTTGTAGTCCCAAAACATCTGGAGGGCCGAGTTTGCCCATGCCTGCTCTAGTTTGTATTTTTATGCTTCAAACTGCCCTGAGATCTTTGGGTGAAGGGTGGTATGCAAATTTAATACAATAAATTTTAAAAAATGAAATGAAAGAACCGTGGGCGAGGCTGTGGGGGTGGGGAGGTATCCTGAGCACCCCAATGTGTGGAGGCAGTAGCAAGAAGTAGAGGGGAAAGGAGCGAACAAAAGCAGAACTAATGACCTGGCATGACTTCCAGTGTTTCTCAAACTTGGGTTCCCAGCTGGCAGGACCAGGATGATGGTAATTGTAGTCCAACACAGCTGGGGACTCAAGTTTGAGAAACACTGGTGGGATGAGAGAAAGAGTCAGAAAAATGGCACGTGGGTATGTGAAATTAAGACTTGAGAGCAAGCGAGAGGAAGTGACAGAGAGGAAATGTGGCTGGGTGGGAGTCTCAGGAGGAATATGGGCGTGACAGTGAGGCAGAGACTCAAAACTGTGGAGCAGGCAGAGAGGCAAGAACAGCTGAACTGAAACAGTGAGAACTTCAAAGAGACAAGGAGGAATTTCAGGAAGCTGGAGGAATACCAAGGGGAAAGTGATAGCAGAAGGGAAACCCAAAGGCAAAAACTGGTCCAGCTGTCCAGTACCACCTCAACAGGGAAGAACGGACAAGGGCAGGAGGAATTGAAGACTTCCTGCAGCTAGCTACCACGTGGTGGGTCAAATAATAGGACTGCACAGAAACTTTGCACATTTTTGGGGGTGCCTGTCTGTCTCAGGAAACAATGGAGTACACCTCCAGGGGCGAAGTCAAACTGCTGGAGGATCACAGCGCCTATAGTGAATTCTCCGGGGTGCAAGACTGGGCAGTCCTGTGCTGCCCAGAAGACAAGACTGCCTCTCAGCATCGCTGATGTGGTCCAAAGGAAAGCAGAGCAAGACGTTTGGCACCAGCTTGGCTGCAGGAGTTGGCGGAAGGAAGCATACAAGACGCCTTAGGGGCTCCATTCCAAATTTGTGTAGGGTTACTCCTTAGCCTTTTCTTCTTTGGAAAATGTTTTGCAAGGTTGGATGGCAGGTTGAGAGGAGTTCCTTACCAGGACAGACTTTGCTCGTGTGCTCAAGACATCGATTCCATAAAACATGTTTTGTTGCACTGTGCAAAATATGAGCAAGCCAGGGCTGAACTGATACTACCCTTGCTGGTACCCTTCCCGGGAAAATCAGAGGCTCACTATGTCAGGTTCCTATTGGAAGACCGGACAAATGCTAGAAAATTAGAAGTGGCAAAGTTTTTATCAGTGGTTGCAAGAACCAATGATCCCTATATTCTGAACAAAATGCTTGTTTAACCTGGAGGTAGGCTGTATGAATTGTGTATTGCTTTGTAACGATTTGTTGGGTCTCTGGACCGTAATAAAGATTGTTGTTGTTGTTTTGCAAGGCTGATTTTTCCTCAGGGTTTACTCCTGAAGCCTTTCTCACGAATGAGCATAGCTGCAAGGCAGCGGGAGTTCCAGATCACATGGGTTTCCCATATTAAGAATCCCCTCATATGCAAGCAGGGTGGGCGTCCTGAGAGCACCTGGGATTCAGCAGGAGAGGGGGGCTTCACAGTGTGTTTGATTATGTATTTAGCAGCCCATGAAACTCAAGGCAGCCTATGTGGGATTCCTAGGCAACCTTCCACACATGCCCTGCCCAGACCTGCTTAACTTTAGCAAGGTAGGTGCATCATGTGCAGTCAGGTTGTGCTGAACCTCACATCTAATCAGACTTCTAGTTTCTGATAATTCGTAAGGCAAATAATCACTTCTTCAATGCATTAAATTTGACTGTGGTCAGTGTGAGTGCTGACACTACTGCAGATAAACTTTTATCTTGCCATGCCATTCCTGGCAATTCAACATATTTTTCCACAAGAAACTCTGCCAGATGCATACCCATAAAGGATATTTAGCATTAATCTACTCTGCTGCTTTCTTCTTGTGACGGATGACTTGTTCCCCACAATTATTGTGTTTTAGATACTGTTGCAAAGACTCCAAGGAATAAGGGGTGTTTTTTGTTTGTTTTTGTTTTTGCTAGTACCAAGAAACAGTAACAAGTCCCACATAACCTGTCTTTCAAAATTTACCATATAAAATGTGATCACTCCACAAATGATGTCTATTAGCTAATACAAGCCAAATTACAAGGAACAGGAATGGAAACATATGACTCCAAGATCCTGGACCAAGATTTATATTACAATTGGTCTTTCTTTATTGGGTGCCAGATTCATTCAAACTAACATGACACTTAATAAATTATGTTCTTCCATTAGCATATGAAGTACAGAATAGGTCTGTACAGGCAGCATCTGACGTCCTCCAGGGATTTTGTGGAACCTCTGCTAACATAGCATAATATATTTGGCAAATAAGCTGAGGAACTGAACTTGAGACAGCAACAGGGACAACCAAGTAACAGCCAACTATGGGTATAAAAATGAAAAATGGAATATTGTCTTTCAGTAAATCCCACGTCAGGACTTGGATGAAGAATTGGATGAACCTGCACCCCCCCTCCCATAGAGCGGTGTTTGAAATAAAACTGGAGAGGGCACGTATATGGGGGAGATGAGACTGTCTTCCATGCAGGAGATGACTCAGGGGCCTTTGAGAACATTTTAAGAGGTTCTAGGAAAATAAAGAACGTTTCCAAAGGAAAATGACTTCTCCCACTGATGACCACATACACAATATGGTGTTGCACAGAAGATGCCTAGTGAACCATTTACAGCTAGTTGTAAGTGTTGCATTTAAGTACTTATTTTAAGAAAAAGTACCATTTGAAATATGTGTTTGGAGGGTCGTTGTTTTTTAAAGGCACATATTAATGTGAAAACTGAATGTTATTATGAGGGACCAGAAACAGACAAATTTGTCCTTACCTAGTTAAAGACAAATCAAGACAATTTTGCCTAAGACAAAATTTCTTAAGTGACATCCATTTGGTGGAATAATAATAATAATAATAATATTTATAACCCGCCCATCTGGCTGGGCTTCCCCAGCCACTCTGGGCGGCTTTCAAAAAAATATTAAAATACCGTAATACATCAAACATTAAAAGCTTCCCTGAACAGGGCTGCCTTCAGATGTCTTCTAAAAGTCTGGTAGTTGTTTTTCTCTTTGACATCTGGTGGGAGGGCGTTCCATAGGCCGGGTGCCACTACTGAGAAGGCCCTCTGCCTGGTTCCCTGTAACTTGGCTTCTCACAGTGAGGGAACTGCCAGAAGGCCCTCGGCGCTGGACTTCAGTGTCCGGGTAGAACAATGGGGGTGGAAACGCTCCTTGAAATCTTATGTTTTTATAAACTTACATAACACCCTATAGTTAATATTAGCCTACATGATCTATACATAATAAAATGGCCATGACTGCAAACAAGTTTGCAAAAATAAACACTTGAAGCTTAAATTTATAAATCATACCTGGCTGTTAAAATTTCAGTAAGTTCCTTCCTATTTAGCACTCGCTGCTGGTTATTTTTGTATCTGGAATCACGGCTGATTTCAGGCAGATTCAGGATCTGAAATGCATTTAGTAACATAATCATCACAGAAAGTTGTGCAAATTGGTCTTCAGTGCGAGAGATGCAGTCATACACTAAATATCAAAGCATAGAATCAATAAAACTGGGCTCTCTACATAAAGCATTTCTTAACATTTACTGTATGTGTAAAATCCAAAAGCACATTTAGTCAATTAATTAAAAATAATTTAATTTTAATTAATTGGAGTAAAATATGTCCATCGTGCATTTAATTAATTAACTGAAATTCTTCTATCTCCATTTCCCACTAATTCAACACCAGCAGCTCACATCAGAAACCTACTTATGTGCAAGTACACAGTCAAAACATATTAAAACAATAATAATATCTCAAATGTGTCTCCTAGCTATTTATTTAAAGACTCTTATTCTAGTGATCACCAAAAAAAAAAGCCCAACAACTATCTCTGGACTTTTATCTCTGGAAATATGGCAACCCTAAGTTATATAACAGAATATGTCACTGCTGCTTCTTATGTAAGAATCAATATTCCACATTAGCTCATTTAGAAACCAGTCATCGGTGAAACATTTTACTAGAATCATGCATACACCTGCAACATATTTATTTGTATTGTTTTAAAACCGACTTTTTCCTTTTGTACTGTTATTATCGTATTATTGTAAATGGTCTTGTGACTTATGTTAAAGGTGATTCACAAAATCATCAACATTATCACCTTGAGCTTTCCACCT